AGTTTATCAAATGGTAATCCTTTCGGTCTCTCCAAATCTAGTGTTCTGGGTAATGATGGATTGATTAAAGCAGCTGCTATGTACCTAGCATCTTCTGCTAGAAAATTAAACAGGCCAGCTGCTTGATGTGTAGGTAATATTTCATATTTCATACCAATTTTTTTACAAATATTTATAAAATTATTTCTTATTTCAGGTGTTAAATCACTCGGTATTCCATAACCGAATATCAATATTTCTATTTTAGGATCTAAAATGCTAAATAATGTTAAAGATTCTTCATTTACATCTCTTGCATGAAGAACATTCCAACTGAAAACTGTATTTGGAAAAAATATTGTTGGACCAATTAATTCTTCACCAGTAGGTAAAACAAAACCAAAAGTTTGAACTCTACTTATGCTAATGACACCATGTTTATTTTTGTTTAATTTTACTGCATATGTTTTCCCTTCTGCTTCATAAGCCGAGAAATTTCTACTCGTTCTAGTATTTAAATTAGCATTTCTATAGGTTTCTAGTAAAGATCTAAAAATAAAAAAAAAATTAATTTGAAAAAACATAACCTTGCAATGGTTGTAAAATGAAAATAATGTATTTTTTTTTTTTTACCTTTTGTTAAGAAAATCTGTTGTTTTTTTAACAGATTTTAATGTTACTTTATCAATAATGTTTTTACTTAATAATCGAAGTGTTGACATGATAAATATATTTTAAATTTATTTAATATTTTTATAAATTAAAAAAAAAAGTGCAGGTTACATTAGGGCAGTAAATATCATACATTGTACATGAACTATTATTAATTGTCAAAATAACAACTAACACGAATATTAAAAGACATTTTTTTAACTTTTAATCAATTTTAATATTTCACAAATAATTATTAACGACAATGCATTCATATATTTTTCTTTTTATTATTATTATTTTTTAAATAAGAAGTTATTTATTTTGTAAAAAGCATACGACAAACCGAAAATGTAAAGTGGCGAACTCAAGCGGTATAAATTTTAACTAACAAAATTAAATGAAGCTAATAAACAGGAAATACTTGTTTTTCTTTTTGAAAATGTTTTTAAATTTCATTAAAATCTTTTTTAAGATCGAATTAATTAAAAAAAAAATTATTTTTTTTTACTCGCGTTAAATTTTGTTAAAAATTTTAAATTTATTTCACGTCGATAACAGGAATTTAATAACGAAGAGGTAAAAAAACGTTTTTTGCAAATGGTGCCTAACTTTTACACATTTTCATTCCAAACAGAAAAAAATTTATAAATTTTTTAATAAAATTTTATTAAATGTTATGAAATATTATTGTTTGATACTATTATAAATAT